ATGACTTTGCAGCTAGCAAGAAGAACAAGAAATATTAGCTTCTCAAAGTGCTGTAGAAGCCCAATTAAAATTATTCATAACATAATAAGCTGTAGCTACTGATCTGATGGCAATTGTAATTACCTACATTTTTTCCAGACAGCATGAATGCTATAGTCTGAAGCCCTTCTCATTTTCCTTTCCCTTACATCACCTTTTTGGGCCATAAAACTTTGGTGAAAGACAAGATTCTAGATGAGATTTATTCGTAGATCAAAGTACTTTTTATGGGATGGAATAACCAACTTTAAGAGAGACTTGTGTCAGGTTTCTGCATAAGAAAGTGCTCGTGGCTACAACTTGAATCTGGATCTGTACTTATGTTGTAAATCCAGGATGGACATTTTTCTCTTATGCAAAAGAAATTTTATTGTTTTCCTCACTTCTCATGATCCCATGATAAAAGACTTTTATGTAAAGAGGAAATTAATAAGATTCCCATGCAGATCCATTGATTAGTACCTATTGCTCTATTCTCTTTCATGCTGGTTTTAACAAATTTTAACAAATAGTCCATTGCTTCATGGATTAATGCAACATTGAAAAGTTTAAAAAAAATTCAGTTTGCAATCTCAAAGATAGGCAGAAGAGGCAATTTTGCTACCTAGCCAAAGAGCTACAATTATTGACAGTCTTCATAGTGGAAAAAAGAAGAAATCTTAAATGAACAATATTCAGAAACTTGTAAAATATCTGCTTTTTCAGACAAGTTGGCAAGGAGAGCAGTGCCATTTGTTTCTGACAAATCGTTATCTATATGTTGAGATAGGTTTAGCCCCTAGGAGCAAATCCATTGTTTTTCTGTTTAACCAGCAGGATATAGAAATAATAATCTGACAAACAAGCAAGAGAAACAAACAAATGACAGCACTGTGTGATAAAAGCCAGAGTTCTACAAGTTCTTACTTGTGAAAACATACATTACACAAAGCACTGTTGATTAATTTGAGGGATGACAAGTAACATTCAGGAAGATGGAAAGTTTTGCTCCTCTGATTCCCAGATGTGATACTTTAACAGGGAGAAGTAATGTTCTAATTTGCTCAGAGAACAGTTTTGATACAACAAAACACAGTTTCAAACTTCTGAAAGTTCTAATGAAACATTTTGAAGAAGTGAACCCAGGCACATGTAGTTAATTAATTTAGAGATGACTGAACAGAGGCTTATATTATTATCTCCCACTTTTAAAATTCATTTTTACACAATTTTATTTTACATACAACCTAGTTAAAGAAACACATCTAAAAGCTAGTCTACAGTTTGGAGCATAAAATTCAAAGTAGTTCAAAGGGCTACATTTTAAAGAGGTTTCTTGGCATGTAAGGATGCAAATAGGTCTCATGACTGATCTTGTTTTGTGCCACCTTATATTGATAAAATTAAGCCCACTTAAGAATTCCTTAGGAATCCTGGTGCTCGGTAGTTATTTAAACACATGTTTTCACTGCACTTTATGTCTAAGAAGTTGATGGCCACCCCAATATCTTCCCCCTCTTTTACTTAATCACTGTGATTTTCCAGAAGTGATTTATGGATTTTTTTTGAACAAGAAGCCTCAACATTTATAACAGATCTCAAGACAACTTAAAAAAAAAAATAAAACCAAAAACTGCATGAAACTCACCTGCTGTAAATGTAGCATCCCATATGATTGATTTCTTTATCTAATTTATACCTCCGAAAGTCCTCCCAAGCATCTTTAATGGCTGTAATGGCCATTATAACACAAATTGGGATCACAGAAACTTCTGGTTGGAAAGCATTCACCACTGGCACAAAATTCAGCAATGCAATAACCACAAAATAAATATTGGCAAAGCGGTGAAACTGCTCATAGATATTTTTAGGGAGGAAAGTCAATATGGTGTATTTCGTGGTCTTAATTTTGTTTGAGTCATAGTATCTGTTTGGATTTTCCTTCCACTTCTTAATTCCAGAGGGCAAATTGGAGATGATCACTCTTTTATTTTCATTTTTCTTCTTTCTTTTCTTTACTTTTCCTCTTTTCTCCAGCTCTTCATTTTGGATTTCAGTGTCTGGAGCACCACATTGGCAGCAGGTTTCCTTGAAAAAATGTTTTTCCCATATCATTCTAGAGAAGAAGCCTGGAACACATTTTCTTGACATCTTGCTTTCCTCTCAAAAAATAGCCTCAATTTGAATAGCAACGAAGTTAGAATTAGAAGAGTTCAATAATCCAGGTAAACTACAAACTGGTGGAAAGAAGAGTCAAGATGTCTGAAGTCCAGGGCCACCTCTCATTCGACTCCAACCTCCACCTGTCTAGGGACAGGTATCATCCTGACTCAGCTGCACTGGGTCCTAGAGCCTGCCAGGAAGGCGGCACCTCACATATGACAAAAGCATCCTGAATGTTTTGTTATTCCTGTTACCATACACCTGGAGGCCCTTTTGAGAGCATTGACTATCTGCTCATATTAAGTGTCTCTGTTCTAACACAGGGCAGCGACAAAGCTAAGAACATACACACAATTTTAATGGTTCACTCCATGACTTTCAGAATCACTTTATGATCCTGGGAGTTGCCAGGAAGTTCAAAGGTAATGGGTCCCAGAAGTCAACAGAAAATTGTTATAAGCCTCAGTACAGACAGTATTTATCTTTTTTACTTCCTCTATCTGCCATTTGTTTTCATGACTATAACATGGATTATTAAATTAACAACCCCATCCGCTCCAAACCAAGCAAATCTATGATTTGGTAGTTGTGAGAATGATGCATAGACATAGGCAATTGAAGGGCAGTTTTCCTAGATTGCCCATCAGCCCTGATCCTTCTCCTCAGATACACCTCTTGTTTCTGGACACCCAAACCATCCCTCTCTCACCCAGTGACACCTTCCAGCTTCTCATTTCTTCTTCCCCACTGCTCCTTGTGCCTCTGACTCATAAGTATGTAGCATAGATGAGGGTTAATTTCAGAAAGAGCTAATGAGATGTGCACAAAGCATAGTAATTTTTTCTCTATGGCCTAGGCTTAAGGAGAGGTGAAAAAAGGAAGAGACCAAAACTTTTAAACTTCTTTTAAATGAAAACTCCTATCTATTGCATTATGCAGTGACAAGCTAAGTAGTCTTAAGTCAAGTTAGTACTTGGACAAGAAACTCTGATGAAATCAAAATGTTGCAATAAGAATTGCACATGAAAATATTTCTTCCTGTTGAGTCACTACTGAGAAAACATCACATTACTATGGGTGTTGTACTATTGCCAAAGTGAAACTGTGTTGTATTGATCATCTGTGTTTATTGGAAGTCCTATAATTTTTTTTTTTTTTTTTTCAATTCCTAGTCATGCTTCACCTTGAATATAGGTGACTATTAATTTTTGTATTAATGGTTTTAGCATTAAATATCTGAAAGACATTGCTCCAATTTGTTAAACAGCCACAGTAATCCTTTCCAGTCTTGGATACGTCTCATTTTTCCTCCAGATCTTTCTGCTACCTGGAGAGGATGTTATGTGTGTTGGCAAGCTGCTTTGGAAACTTGGAATGAAAACTGGTATATCAGCACACACTGCTGTGATATGAAACAAAACTTTAATGATATCAGGATAACTTAAGTGAGATAAATGAGGCATTTTCAAAGGCAGAACAAAACTCTTATAACGGATTTACAAACTTACTCCAAATGCTCAGTGAGAGAAATGCTGCAAAATCAGATAAACAGTTTCCACCCCATTAAAAAAAAAAAAAATGGTTTAGTTTACTTACTTGTCATATACCCTGGTTTTAGAGAAGTTTATCATCTTATCAAATTGGTATTTTCTGTAGTCTTCAACAGCATCCTTAATCATACTGGCAAGCAGTACTACAATCAGAGGCAGCATAGTAATCTCTTTGTGGAAGACTTCCACTTGTGGGAACCAGTTCAGAACCACCAGAAAGAAGAAATAAATATTACCCAGCCTGAAAATGTTTTGAAAGTAGTCAGAAATTAGAATGTGTCCTTTTCTTAATGAACAGCCCCGATTTTGGGTCAAAAGAACATTAATCATTTCACACCTCTACCCTCCTTTTCCTTTCCCTTGTATGAATTAATCAGTTACTTAACTGATTATCTCTAGGACCTAAAACTTCCTTAATGATCCCCCACTGCCTCTGTCTTGAAAATAAGCACAAATATCTCAGACTTTCTTACAATACTTATTCTATTCACACTTACTTAGGAAGAGAGTGGTTCAGGTGTTGAATCTTAATAGCTCAGATAATAAAGAACTGCAGCAGCAATTTAATCGCATTTACACTCACAGTTTTCCAAAAAGAAGTCCAAAAAAACTTAAAAACACAAAACAATGTAACAGAATGGATGAAAAACCCCACATGATTATGGAAATGTCCCCAGCAGCAATTCATCCAGTCCACATGTGGAAGGTCAAATTATGAAAGTGTAAATCTAATATACAGAATGAAAATTTCAAAGCTAGAGATAGATATATAACTTAATTTATCTTTATCATGAAGATTTTTCCCTGGGCATCTTATTGACATGATTCATTATGCTGGTGGGGTATGTAGTTTCAAACCATCACTTGGAAAGAAACCTGGCCTAGCACTTGCCATTTTTGATACAAAACCCTGTATGCATATACATGTATATTGTTTATAAGCAGGTAGACAGTCACTTGTATGTTATTAAGAATTAAAACTAACATGTGAGTCTCTGAAATCTACAGAATATCATAGGTGTCTCAACAGATCCAGTGAATATCTTTTCATGTTCTCAAAAATTAGAGGTTTATTCAAGACAGAAACAGTGGGATTTTTAAATAAAACCTTGTCATTTTTACATAAAAACTGCTCCAGAATTCAAACAAAAAAGCTGGCCACAGCACTGGTTTAGAGCACACCTAGCATTTACTTGCTTTAAACCTCCATTTCAGTGTGAATCAAGTGACATTTGGTTACAGCTAATCATCACCTAAATTTTACTAATGTGATGACTACAAAATCAGTCCTTCTCCATCATCCTCAAATGACGCTGTTTAATTGAATGATTTTTTATTTATTTATTTATTTATTTTTTTTACCTGTGAAATTGCTCAAAAAGATTTTGGGGCAAAAAAGTGAACCATGTATATTTTGTGGTCTGTATCCTGTTTCCAGAATAAAATGTAGAAGCTTGTTTCCAGTCTTTCTGCTGTCTCCCATTGTTGGGAAACACAATCCTCCATTTGTCTAAGTTGAGTTTTGCTTTGTCTCTGACAGAAAACAGTAGTGGTGCCAATTCTGATAGAGTCTGAGAAGGACTTTCAGCTCCTAGTCGCTGCCAACGGTACAAAGCAGAGTCCACAGACAAAGCCATTCACAGCAGGGATGTCAGTCTGAAAGACAAATACATGACAAGGACTGAAAACCAATTCCATTCTAGTAGAAAATTCTCTTCATGTCTTGATAGCAGAGGTTTATAAAGCAGCAAACAATACTACTGTTCAGTGTATTACATGGTCTGTCTTGGTGTTCAGTGGTTTCAACAGAGAACACAGAGAATAAAAGATACAACAAAATCTTCAATATGGAAAAATTTATTTCTATCTCTGGGGGAAAAAAAAACCCAACCCAAATCTATTTTCTGTGTGTTATAACAGCAAACTAACATAGATAAATCCAGTTTAACAGAGGTGAACAATAGCTTTTCCACCACAAATTCTGTATCATTTTCCTCAGTCGTAAACTGCCACCAAATCTCTTCAGGCATTTTTCTTCAAATATCTCAGACTTTCTTACAATACTTATTCTATTCACACTTACTTAGGAAGAGAGTGGTTCAGGTGTTGAATCTTAATAGCTCAGATAATAAAGAACTGCAGCAGCAACTTAATCGCATTTACACTCACAGTTTTCCAGAGTCTCCATAGAAATCTGATTTGAATGGAAAATTCCAGCCAGCACTATAAAAGCATGGATGTTTTATTGGTTGCAGAGATAAAGGAATTAAATCTCCCAATACTAATCCTATTACCATTGAACACTTGTCTTCTGACTTGTTCAAACATCTGCCACTGCAATTGTGATCCAGTGTGCAGGATGCTCAGGCTCCAACAGGGCAGGTGTATGTGCTATTACACTCAATCTAAACACAGTAAAATCTCAATCCAGCAGTGGGATCTTGAGGACTTGAAGCTGCCTTACAACAATGAGGCACTAAAAGTGAAAAAGCAGACATTGGCCTTTTGCAACTTCGAAGTTCCACTAAACTAAAGACCTGAACTGAACCCACCTCACTTAGACTGTGGGAAATACAGAGAAAAAAAAATGTATTTAAACTTGAAAAATGGTCATTTAGATTTATTAACTAAAGAATTGGTTTACACTTTATTTAATAGCAGACTTATTTGAATCAGACCGAGAATATTTAGACATGTTTGTACAAGTCTAAATAAACACATTTCAAATACATTAAATCTTGGAAATGTTTTATACCTTTATTACAAGTGAGTCCTTGGTTTCTCTCTGCTTTTTAGCTTCTTCTTCCAAAGAGCCTACCTTTCACTGTATGCAGTATGTAATTTCCTTTGGAAAAAACCTTAATTGTATTTAAAAATATGTATGTGATTAGGTCATGGAGGGGGAAAAAATATACTGTACAGAATTTTACTAACGCATTTGAAGTGTGTTGTTTCATCAGCAAACAAGTATTGTCTATTCACTATTACTCACTAACTGCTCAAAAAACATTAATTCATAGTTCAGATTGCTCAGTAGTGCTTGGGGATCCCCTACAATGTTGAGAAAGGCTAATTTGTGCCTATCAGAATCTTGGAAATATTGGCTCGGTTGATACAAACTGAAGTCCCAACACCTAATGAATCTAGACTTAATGTCTTGTTACCTTGATAGGGAACACTGAAACTACAAACTACCAGGAAGATGCAGGAGAAGACAAATAACACAACAAGCAAGTAAAAGGAGTTTTTAATGGAAATTGCCATTACTTGCACTGTGCTCCACAGATTTGAATGCCAGCATTGACCCCTTTCTTTTAGATTCCCTCACTGTGTTTGCAATAACTTTATTCACCTGTCAAAAGATGAGCCACTGCAACATAAAGCAGCTGATGATGGGTTCATGTGTACTTAAAAAAAAAAAAAAATCAGGTGTGCTTGATCTGTGAAGGTCATGTTCATGTAGGACCATGAGGACAGTCAGCAGCAGAGAAACTAACCAGACTGATCTCCAGAGCTTGCTGAGTGTCAATAAAAGCAGCACATCTGCAGGATCCCATACCATAGATGAACTGTAGGCGGCATATAGCAAGTCATAGATGGTCTGCATGTGAGAGGGACAGAGATTTGATGAAGGTGTGCTGAATCTAAACTTGAGTATCAGACTCTCCTCCACTCTGCTTTTGTGCTGTGTTCCTGGGTGGTCTTCAAGCATCCATGGGAGCATTGTACTTGATAGGCAGGAGAGGAAAATTAAAGCTTCATTTAGGACTAGTGAGAATCTTGGAACAAGACTCCAACAAACAGCTGTCTTTTAGCAGAACGTAATGGCGTTTAGTTTGTTCTCTTTTACTGAAGAGCCATGGAAAAAAAGACATCCAGACATGATGAGAATTATGGAGTACTAGCTTGGAGAATTGATGGAAAGACTATGTTTTTAGAAGACCTGGATCTCAGGAACTTTTTCTCCATAAGATACCAGATTCAAACTACCAACATGAGATGAGATGACTGGAAGCACAGCAGACATTACAACAGATTTCCTTGTGTCAGGATTTTGGTGTGCTTGGTGCTTGTTTACTGAGGCAAATCAATCATTTGAAGGTGTGACATTGTACTGGGTTTGCGTGGCAAGGTTTTGGTAGCAGGGGGTGGGGGGACGTAGGGGTGGCCTCAGTGAGAGAAGCTGCCAGAAGCTTCCCCTATGTCCGACCCGGTACAGCCAATTCCAGCCGGCTCCAAGACGGACCCTGCTGCTGGCCAAGGCCAAGTCAATCAGTAACGCCTCTGTGATAACATAATTACGAAAAAAAAAAGGGAAGAGAGGAAAAAAAGCTGCACACTTTGCAGCAGGAGAGAGGAGTGAGAAGATGTAAGAGAAAGAACCCTGCAGACACCAAGGTCAGTGAAGAAGGAGGGGGAGGAGGTGC